AATTGTCGACGGATTTTTTCCGGGGGGTGTGACCGGTCGGCAGGGGATGCTCACTCCTCCATGGCAACTGATCCCGGCTCTGATGTTTTAGAGGTCCGTGTTTGCTCTGCTCCTACATTTGTATTGTTTAATGGACTTTTGAGTTTGAATACTGTTCGTTATCTCTATATATTTGATCGATCAAAGAACTTGCGAAATGATGGCTTCAAAGGTGACTGTTGGTATCCTTGTTTCATCAACTTGTTGGTTACTCGCTTTCCTCGTTTTAAAAATTGGTCGTACGTAGAACATACTCTTGCGTCACGAATCTACTGAGAGACATAAGCCATGTATGCAGGTGATAAGGGTATATTGCTAAATAAATAAGGGAAGTTGACGTGATAGAAAAGTTGAAGTCTTCACGTTTATCATACGTATTGTTGCTAGGTTACCATTAATTTTTTTTCTAGTAAAATACCCAAATATATAACAGATGTGTCAGACACTGTGGTGTCTTTTATTTCTAGTTCACTGGGATATATATAGAATTGACATATGAATGAAAGTAACTATTGTTAATTGATAATACGTCGTCGATATATCTAAATTAAAGTTGAATCTAATTTAAGAGTTCTATTTTTATTGAAAAAGCAGCAGTCTATAATGTCAAAAAGCCTGGACTTTAATTTATCGTGGGGAATGGCTGTACGAATTATTGAAAAGTCTTACGTTTTGATGTTATTGATTTTGATATAATTTTGTGATTTCAAATTTTCTAATGTTAAATGTCTTGGAGTTTTAAAGTAACCGCATCTGATTTACACTACTTCCTGCATATATTTTTGTACTGTACTCCTGAAGTTTCTCCTTCACAGCTGTAAATATTTTAATAAGGAGTAAAGAAAGAAGCTTGGTAGAACATTTACTGGAACTCGCTATGTATCTTTGTTTGTAAGGATTTTTATGGAACTTTAATATTTCTATTGTAAACTTCCCTCATTTATGTAGCATAAACCTGCATCTTGGGTTTATGTCTTCATTTGATTCGATACGCAAGATCATGTTCTACGTACGACCAATTTTTAAAAAAGAGGCAGGGTATTGGGAAATAAGTTGATGATACAAAGATATTAAAAATCGTTCAAAATTTACATTTTGCAAATTCTTTGATCGATACAATGACCTTGTTTGCAACAATCTTCAAGTCGAACGTTTACTGATATCTTTCATACGACTTGTTAGGCCATTATTTTCACCCTAAATTGACTACAGATTTTCCGTTTATACGATTATGACAAGAAGCACACAGCTGGTGTAATCGGTCGACAGGGGATGCTCACTTCTCCATGACACCTGATCCCACCTTTTATTTTCAGAGATCTATGTTTGTTCTACTCAAAATTTGTTTTGCTTAATTGTACTTTGAGCATGATTACTGTTCATTATCTTCACATTCCATGTAAAACCTTTAACTTGCCTTGTCACAATCTGTTTTTCTTAAGCTACTGTTGATAAAAATATAAGTATATAAACACTATGTGATGAGAAAAGAAAACATGCAATATCAATCGGATTGAATATACGAGTAAGATGAATTATTTATGGTGGTAATTGACATCTCTCTCTCTCTCTCTGCTATATATTCTAATGCTATATAATGTATGGAAAAAGAAATACAGACAATGTTTATATATGATCTAATTGAAAAGTTAAATTCAGTTAAAAATGTCTGATTTAGTTACGAGACTACTTTCTCAAATCAACAACTAGATATATCCCAGTATTTTATCAGGATGTTGGTATCAAGGAAATGACGATCCACTCCTTGATGTAATGGACACAGTACGTTCTTTCCTTTTTTTAATGATATCCGCAGGAATAAAGTGACCATTAATCTCCATTGCTATCGATTGTTTATTTTCAGCTTTACAGCTCAATCCTTTAATAAATTTATTTTTTCTGTGAAATGAAGTTGTTATTTCTATTAAACTTTTTTTCCATAGCAGCCTGAATACGCTTGGTTTCACACACGCTCAAAAATTTTGAATGTACGGGCTGGTATACCAGAAGCTGAATCGACATTTTATTGAAGGCGATGGCAATATGATGGTCATTGGATAAAAACAAAGCTACATTTCTGTAAAGACAAAATCTTCCGTGACTTTTAAGCACCTTCCAGTCTTCTTTTTGCATGCACGCAACGACAAGGCGAAAGTAAAAAAAAAGTAAGGCAGGAATTCAAACTTAAAAATTAGAATGGACGAATTAATGTGTAATTCATAAACTTCTCTTTGAATCTCGTCATCAAACTGTTTTCGATTCATGCATGGTATGTAGTAAAATTCTCCATAACTGGCTACCAAACCAAGTTTTTGCATATAATCTAAAATTGTCTTTTTATAATATAGGAAGTCTTGATGGTTTACTGAGTCGTCTTGTCGTTTGTTAAGTGTCTGCTCATTAATCCCTGACCTAAAGTAAGCATCATGAGAAATATCAGATTCAGGTCTAAGCAATACATCATCTGTGACATTTATTACATGTTCACGCTGAATTTTGTCAACATGTTTCCAGATTTCAATGAGATCTTTGTCTTTCAAATGCCCAGTTTCGTAGTATTCGTCCCAATCTTCCCCTGTAACTCGGGTGCCTTCTAAATGTAGTTTGTCTGTAATAATGTGTTTAAAAGCATCCACAAACCATTGCACATCGATAATAACAGATTGGCTTAAAACTTCTTCGTCAAAGTACAAAATTTTCCCGGCGTCGTGAAAATATCTTAACATGTCTTTTGTTCCGTAATTTTGATTGTTTTCTCCTGAATTTTCTCCGGAATTGGATATGTTATTTTCATAACTATTTACCAACATATCCAATACTTTCATAATTTTGCTTCCGCCTTTTTTCTGGTGAATTTCGATTTCAAAACAAGCCCACTTCTTTGGAATACTTTCTTTCCATCTTTTTTGAGATACAATTTCAACAATCCGTTTTTCTAGAGCATCAATTGGTTCTATGGGGAATAGTAGGAAATACAGGAATCTTTTCTTATGTATTGCAATAAAGGAAAATTGCGCGGAATCTGCCTTTGTAAAAGCTCAATAAATGTTGTCTCATCCTGAAACAGAATGTCCAATGTTAAATTAATTAGTCCTTGTATAATGACATTTATAAAGACTTATGTAGCAATAGCTAATGATAAAACGCCGCCTAATGATAAAAATATCATTAGGTGTTGCAATTGCAACGCTTCATGTTATAGCGTATTGTATTTATAATTTACATTCTCAACCGCTAATGCTAAATCGCCGCTTAATGATAGAATTATATCATTAAGCGTCAGAAATACAGAGCAGCCCCAACGCTTCATGAAACATGCAAATATCTACAAGATCGACCGCTAATGATTCAAAGTAATGTTTCATTAATCATTGCAGTCGCACTCTTTAATGATAAAAAATTAAAAATTGTTTATCTTTAAGGTATCTGATGTACAATTGACTAAAAAATGATGCATGGTAAGGTATACATCCCATATACTCATTTGATAGGTATGGGTATAAAGTTTCTAAAAATAGCATTTTTTCCCGCCAAATTACTATGGGGAAGTAACTCCAGCATTTGAAATATAATGCAGGAAAACATGATATTTTTCTGGTGATGTCCAAAATCTGTACAATATAATTGATATTTGGTAAAATATGATTGATGATAATAATAAACAATATATTTTTGAAATAAAATAACTAATTTTATCTTTCTCAATTATATTTTGAAGAGAAAATTTCCAATTTACCCCCCCCCTCCCCTTGACACACATACAAGAAATAATATTGAAGAAAGGAGGATTGTACCTAGTTTATTACATGGTTATTTACACATCAATCACTGTTTTTCTGCTCTTTAAAACCATTATGAATATTGAATTTCCATACAAGTTAATATTGTTTAATGAATAAAAAAAATATTCATTTTTATAAGTAAGAATTTTTTCTCTTATTGAACATGATTGTGTTTTATGTAAGTAGCTATGACAATGTCATCTCACTAAGAATCATACTGCATCAAACAAAAGCAATAGATGGATATTACAATGTGTAAAACAGTAGCTTATTTACAAAATACATCAAGTTTTGGGTTCAAATACATCACATTTCACAATAGGTGCTAGCATAAAAATCACTTACTGCTCATAGATGCCAAGCACAGGTCAAAACTTGCAACCTTTCACCAGTAAATTGTCGTGTCCCAATATGAGTGAAATATTTTTGAAGGGACATAAAGCAAACAAGCGCAAGACTAGTGCAAATACTTATGGTACTCATAAAATTGAACACTATTCAAAAAGAGTAACAAGTACAAAAAAAAACTTGACATAACGAGTTTTTCACACAAAAAACATGAGTGCAAAAATTTATGGTACACATAAAAATACCTTTTCCTAGTAACAGGTACATTGTTATTGTGAGAAAAAATGACACAACTTGGGTATTACAGTATCTAACACTTTACAGTCATTGGTCACTCTTGGTTTACCATGATAGTTTTTTGCACAAAAAAACATTACGCAGACCATCTTCGCCTGCACGTTTATGAATTATTTTCAAATGATGCAAACCAAGTCCAGAGCCTGCAACATTCTCTGCCATGTTCATTTTTAGTGCCAACAAGAGCACTCAAAGATGGCAGATACAAGGCTTTTGCCGCATTAAAGTTTTCTTGAAGGAAATGTGTTTCTGCATCATATGCAGATTTGGACAGATCAGATTTACAAACAGCAATAGATAATATTTTGGAAAGCATTTTCACATCTTCCACAGCATCATGTGCAGAATATGACTCTTTACAAAAGTGCTTAGCAAGATATATCTGTGTATACTTTTCTAGTTTTTTATGTTTTGATCGAATCAAAGACAACGAGTCAGTAAAACCTGACACATTTTCAAGAAACTGTTTCTGTAAACCAATCCGTTCAACAGCATAGGAAAGGACTCGGAAATCAAATACTCGACCGTTGTGAGCTATGATGATGACTCCATTATTCCTAATGTACTCAACCAGGTAAGAAAATTTGAAACCGCGTCACGAATGGGAGCTGCAACAACTTTGGATCCATAAGTGTAAACTGATGTTCCATCGCAGACTATTCCTGTCGTTTGCTCTGCTCCAGGCTCTATGGGTATTTTTGGTAGAACATAAGTCGAGAATGAATCTCCAGACTCCATCTCCACAGCACCAATTTGAGTAATATGAGGCATGGCTCCTTGTCTGACTACAGAAATACAATTACTTCAATTTTTACTTGATATTTTAGAGTATTTATAATGATAATACAAGCAACCACTTTTGCTAAAAATAGGGATAGGCTTAAAATAATGAGCAACTTACTAAGCCCAGTTGTTTCCAAATCAAAAACAATGAATGTTGGCTTCATGTTCTTCAGCTTTTGAACAGCACTAAATGTTGGCTTGGTAATGGGATCTGGTACTTTTTCAATGTCAGCTTCTGCACCAAGACCAACCTCTAACAATGCAAACATTGTTATTCAAATTGTTAGCATACGTATCTATATAACATAAAGTATTTGCTTTCCTACAGATTTTTACTTTCTTTTATTAAGAAAACATATATTTTAAATCTACTAGAATAGTTAACCTGATTGATAAGTGGACCCTCTGAAGCCTCAAATGCATCCTTTTGAGTTGCTCTTTCTTGTTTTAGGATAAGACGACGACGTTTGGTCCCTGGTAGTCTCATCTTTTCTCTTTTCTTTTTCCTGTCTTCATCTACTTTTCATTGCAAACTGATTCGGGCATTCTGGAAACATCCCTGTAAAGAATAAAATCAGAAGTAATACAGGTTAACACTGTTATGTATTCTTCATTGTTGTGATAATGATAATAATGTTAAATTAAAATTTACCCAATAAATTCATCAGGAATTACTGCTACCCCCAAATCGGTAAACTCCTCTTTAAAATCTCCCTCTTTTTTCTGTGAAACAGCTCTGAAATATACAGTTATACATTTAGTTATGTTAAATTTATGTTGCATTTGTATTCAAAACATTTACATGTATTAGAGGTATTTTATTTAATACATAAACATAATTTTAATTACATCATTTCTTTCTCAAAGGCCATCATGCTTTCTTCCTTCATGTTATCTTTGGCATATTTCTCAATAATCTGCCCAGCCCTCCTTTCCATAGTTTTCAAACTTCTGTTATTTATGAATGGTAAATCTAAGGTTGTAAGCAGATTGTTCATTCGCTGGGGTCCACCGACATTGTCAATCATGGCTACAAGGAATATTTGTTTGTTATTCCTTTCAAGCTTTTAATAAAATTTACAACAGAATATAACATCATTAGGACAATAAAATCAGAGATATTGGCAAACAACATACCTGCACCAATTTTTGTATTTATACAAAAACTCGGCATCCCCTTGCCATGCTCCTCGTCTCTGTGCGTTTTCCCATAAGGAATCCTGTTGGGCCTCAGACAAAAAGTACACTGGACATACAGATACCCGCCCAGTCCAAGTTTCATCTCACCCTTGATGGTTCTTTTAGTAAGGTAAAGAGGCCCGCATTTACAGTGCCTGCAATTTTCCAGGGCATCTATAACTGACACCCACTCTATCACCCGTCTTCCATTTCGCCACCCGTTTGCACTAAACTTTTTGCTATTGATCAAACTTTTCATACCAGGAAAACATGTTTCACAAGTGTCCCCTTCACAAATATGACCAGATATATAGTTATGGTCGACTAACACATTAATTTTCGACGACTTTTTGAAGCGACCTTTTTTATTCCGCTGCAACATGGACGCCGCCATATTGAAAACTGTTTATAACGACGTCACGAGATATTTAGATATTTTGGTTTTTAAACTTAAAAATAATTTTCGGGTATCAACTTCTACATAAAATTGTTATATATGAGTATTAATCCAGTTGAATGAAAAAAAAAATGCATTTAAAGATTTTTTACTTTCCCCCGTAATCTACCGAGGTCATTCCGGAAAATGCCGAGCTCTCATGCTCAATTGTACATCCGATACCTTAAGAGAAACAAACGTAAATCTCTCACTCCATCCATCTAAAAATAGTCCAGTGAAACCTGTCTAATTTGACGTGCAATGGGAAACAAAATTTGTGTCAGAATAGAAAAGGTGTCGGATTACACAATGTAAAGAATATGGAAGACAGTAAACTGGGAATTTAAATACAGGTCGGGATTCACAGTGAAAGGAATTGCACAGGTGTCGGATTAAACAGTTTGCACTGTAATAAACTTTCACTTGTCAGATCAATTGTATATGTCATTGTGCTACTGAATATAGTAAATATTGAAGTTTTTCTAACCTAGAGAACTTCTTAAATATTAAGAGAGAGAGAGAGAGAGTTAATTTGTTCCGGTCATTATTTGATTTCAAATCGGAAAAGGAGTGTGTGTGTGTGTGGGGGGGGGGGGGGGGGCTTGATTGTATTTCAACGACCTCGAAAATTTTTTATCTTCAATACGCAAAAAACAAATTTATGATTGATTATATGCATAGAATGCATAGTTATCAATTAGTTCACAATAAAGCCCTGTATCATCCCTACGGCAATTCTCATGTCATTTGAAATATAGAAATTGAATCAAAATCAATCTCGACAGTGTGGTCTAAATCGCAAGATTAAAGAATTTTACAGAAGAAAACATTATCCTCCCCATTCCCCGGGTTCAAAAAATAAAAAAAAAAAATTAACTGGGCTCATTTTTTTTTTCAAATATTTAAACTAGAGTGTTTCAATGAACGTATGTTTCCCTGATGTAGCATTATAAGAGATAACAAAACTAAGAGTGGTCAGCTCTTTATTAGCATTTGTCTGCAAAGAAAAAAAACAGCGACAGAATGCATTGATAAAAAAAATATGACAATCAAATGGAAATATGGTTCCTCCATCCTTAAAACGAAAATGAATAATGAAATCGAAATTATCAGAATTAAATATTTCTTTTTATTTATTCAAACGTGTTTCATTCGATTCGTAGCTAGAAATATTTCAATCTCTATTTACTGCAATTAATTAACCGACTGGAGTAATTATGAAAAGTAGGTCAAAAGTCAGGGTCAAGTGGATGGTAACGTTTGTATTTTTCATTATACACGTACCTTATGACAAACAGTGCACGTGCTAAATAGCGGAGACTTACTTCCAAATGTCCAGAATATACTGTATATCGGCAACATGATCTCTTTTGAAAAGTTGTTCAAAGGTAAGGATCAAAGGTGAAGGTCAGTAACCCTGGTAGTGCCAAGCAATACCTGAGCAGAATATTAAATCAATACCTCTTACAGTTCTCAAGATATAAGATTTGACAGACGGACAGACAGCTAGACAGACAATCAGACAGTCAGCTAGACAGACAGACAGACACCAAGTAAATCCCTTAGTATCCCTCTGGTCTGCAGATGACACAAAAATCGGGGGTTTCAATTCAAGAATATCTGCAATTGCAAAATAAGAAACATGTTTGAATTCTTAATGATCTTCTATACACTAAATCAAAACGTTTTTTGGACATTGAGAAAATTATATTGTACAAAGGTGTAAATATTGAATTGATTTGTTTCTTTTTTTATCTATGCCCTTTTAAATGTACTCAGACAAAAGACACTTGTTCGTTTATTTGTTTGTTTGTTTGTCTGTGATTGAAATATATTATACTGTAAACGTGGAAATATCCGTGTAGGAGAAATTTGTGTCTGCTGCTTTCGGTCTCAAATATTGAGTTAATTAATATGTTCAAATATAATGTATATTCAAAAAAACTATGTATCACCTACTTAAATCATCAACTAAAAATTTGATAAAGATTTCATGTTTTATGTGATCAACCATGTCTTGCATTTTAGAAGCTGGACGTTTTATCTGCTGTAGGAAAACTACAGGAGTATATACTTAATTTCATTCTTATTACACTTTGTGACCCCCCGAAGATTGTATAAAAAGTTGACAAAATTAAATAGTCCAAAGAAACAACGTAAAATTAGTCATCTGTCATCTATGTCTTGAAATCACCAGTTATGAACTATAAAAATATAAAATATTAGTTCTTTTTAAAGTTTTTTTTTATCTATTGTAAATATAGTTCTCGTTATAAATACAGCATTTTGGTAATGGTTACTATATTAGCTGAGTCACCTGAGCTATTGCTATATGTTTTTGCATCGTGTGTTTTTTGTTTGAACATTTTCAGCTGCTTCTCTGGAACGACTGAAGCAATTTCAGCCACTTTTGGTATATGCCATCTACGGTTCTTTTCTCGGTCCCGTCGATTTCGAGATAACGATTTCTATTTGCCACAGGCAAGCAATTTGGTTCTTGGATTCGACAAAGCGCATGTTGCCCGAGAACACAGTCAATAAATGTATAATGTTTAACTGACTCTTCTTAACATATTTTATTAGATATTTATATCAAGCATTAAAAAATAACAAATTTGAAGCTCTCGAATGTCTTTTTTGCACCAAAAACATTCTATATTTTCTAATGAAAATAAAAAATTTATGTTAAACATAATTAGGAGCTTAGGTCCTTTCCACAGCTATAGCGTAAAAATGCCAAAAATAGAGATTCTGACTCCCTGCACTGGACGCTGGGACTCAAGGAAGGATTTCGTAAATTATTTGAAATGTAAAAGTAAGTTGTACTCTATTAGTTGTGAAAATTACAAAGCTTTGTTTATATTCTGTCAAATTTTATAGATCCTCAGATACATGACAGGCTAAGGGTTTCATGAAAGTGTTATTCCGTATTTCCACACCCTTAAAACTTTGACCGGTATACATGTAGGTTCTATTTAATAAGCTGGTACACAATGTAGGCGTCATAAGAAAAGGAAAACCCAATAGAAGATGACAAAGAAAAACGAAGGAATAAAGGAAAAAAAATGCACCTTAAAAAAAAAAAAAAACAAAAACCAGCAAACAAACAAAACAAAACCAAAGTCTTTCTTCACCTGACCCCTGCACGTGACCTCTAGACACGTAGGATTGACCCCGCTCTTCATTCTGTGGTACATTAAACATACATTTTCTTGGGGCAGAAAATTTGTTGATACAGTGATTTTTTCATGTTTTTTTTTCCCAGACCAGGCCCTTCCTCCCTCCCTCCCCTCCCTTCTGAAAAAAAAAATTCTATACAATCTACGGCCGTCGAAAGGATATTTGTCTTTCGTTTGGTGTGGTAAATTAAGTAAAGGTTGAAGACTCTCAATAGAAATTGAAAGTGACTAAACCGTTTAAGGCTGATTGTTGCAAGGACGTAGTACTTTTATGCATTTATAGAGATGCATAAGATTTGTAGTTGTTTATGCTCAATATCTCTTTTTTAATTATAAGTAACTTGCGAAAAATGGTTAAAAAAGGATTTATAATTATTTACAATGACTCCTTTCTAATTTTCCTGGTTCTTGGAATAAAAATCAATATCTTTTAAAAATAACATATTTTCAAAATCAACACTTACATGTATATGGAGAAAATACTCCAAAACACCACTTTATCTATATATATAAGAAATTTAAGAAAAAAGATCACGGCGTCCTGAGTGTACATTTCTTCCTTTTCATCCAAAGCCCTCTCTTAACATCAATAAAGTATACTCTCTTATGCTATACTTTCTACACATATTGGAAGTATTTAAGGGGGGTAACTGGGGTTTTCATTGCGCAATACTTCGCGCAGCATAGTATATTAAAATGTATTTATTCTTTTAAAGCAACTATTTTTACATAATTTATAAAAATTTACAAATTTACGAAATCTCAGGGTAAAAATTCTAATTACGTTTTTAATAAACTGACTTTTTAAACGTCACATTTTTTCATATGATTGGTAGATACATGTAGATGTCGTAATAGTGTGTTTTTGACGTTATGAATAACCGAAGTTCTTTAAGAGGGGTATTTAATTATATCATAAAATAAAAAGTATACAATAGATGCTCTTGAAATTTTAGACGTAGGAAATTGAGAATCCATCAATTTTATTATTTTTTATGTAAATCTGTGATATCTATTATATTTTATAGTACTCCATAAAAACAGGAAAATATCATTGACACTTTGAGATGCCCCTTTGGAAACCAGACGGAAGAATTTTTTGTTTCTTGCATAAAATGTACAATATAGTATTACTCATCAAAAAATATAATTTGAGCAAAAAGTCTATAGTAGCATTTGTATAATTTGTTCCGAAGTGCAAAAAAATGACATTTTCCTAAATAATCCTATAGTAATTGTACCTATATTTTGAGATGGTCCCTAAAAACGACCAGACGGTAGATTTTCACTAAACTTGGCAAGTATACTGAAGTCAATGTAAGATACATATGATATAAAATTAAAGAGTTTCTCTGCAGTAGTTTTCACAAAAAAAAAAAACCCAGTTGGCTCCCTTAAGCTGTAAATTTCATTCTGAAAATTCTGAAACGACATATGATATGCCAAAACACAATAAAAATCACAAAAAAATTCACATGAATTGAAATATATAAGACCGATAGTATTCGGTCATATCAGATATGAGGGGTGGGGAAAGGGGGGGGGGGGGTACTGGTTAAAATATCTAACAATAAAGATCTTTCAGAAATGGCATATGTTAGACCAAAAAAGAATATATACACACAAATAACAGAACATACGTTTAGTCCCATGTTGGGGGCGGGGGATGAAAATTTTTATCATTAAGAGTGCAACTGCAACGCTTAATGATACATTTAAGCATTGAATTCTTATTTTTGGATGTCTGTGTCCTATTACAGCACCTGGCTGTGCTGATATATTTAATACCGTGCGTTAGCGCAGTATGATAATTTGTCGACACCGA